ATTTAATTTATTAGAATTTTAATAATAATCTTTTTATGACAGCTGACAATGTTTAAGATGCGAACAGTGGAACAACGCCTTCACCACGCTGCTTCTTAAGCCCCATACATACTCAATACTAAAAAACTCATCGACATGATCAAAAGTTTTATGATCAAGCGGGTTTTTGTATCATAAATAAAAACAGATAAACAATTTTTATAAAACGACCTTTAAAATTAACATTATAAACATTATATAACTGTTAAGTGGCATCGTATTTATGATTCTAATTGTGCTACACTTTAAGGGGTGTGAAATAAATTACTTATTTATAATAATACTGAATTTATGCGGGGTGGTATAACTAGTGTTATAACGGTTGTAGCTATAGTATTACGGGCAACCAACGGTCCAGCTACGTCGAAACACCCATTAGAACACCGAAGTTAAGCGACGTAAGGCGATACTAGTGGATAGACGGGTGACCAGTTCGAAACTCTGTATCGTGCTGTTGTCCAATAAAGGCAAAAGTGTAAAATATATTGACACACTCGTGAGTAAGAGTCGATTTAGACACTTGCTCGGTCATTGACCGAGAACCGCTGTTCGGATTCCGCGTAAACAAAGTAGGCCTCGTCCAAATTAGCCCTGGCAGCAAAAAGGAGACGTTAACTTCAAATCTTTTACTTTACTTTATAGTATTACATTATAACATTATCATGTCATAATATTATGAAATAATATTTCCTACTACCATTTTTTTTAATATTGGTACAGCAAACTTATCAGTATAAAGTTTTTACTTATCTTTATCCTTTTTTATTGCTATTTATAATTCTGAATACGAGGATAAGAAATTTTAGTTTTCAGTACGCCTATGACCGAAGGCGAACGTCTACCTCCCTTCATCAGCGGCCATAATTGGATGGAATCAGGGATGAGTAAATATAAAGGACCCTAAAATTAATAAATTTTGCTCGTCTGCTGCAACACGTAAGAAATATTTATTGATGGATCAGTATGACAGAGAAGTAATAAAAAGGCCGTTTTTATGAATAACAAAATGGTATTTGAACATCATATTATAATCATATTGAATTGACAATAGATTAATTTATCAGCTATCGGCAGAAAATTGACAATAATAATAAAAACATGACACATGGCAATTAATATAATTAGTAATATAGATATATTTCAAAGAACTTTACTTAAAATTAACTTTTTTAATTTTGTACTAGTTTATAGCACTTGGTGGTATAACTTAACAAAATAATATCAATCATTAAATAAAGCATAAACGAACCAATAAATAAACAAAAAGGTTAATTTATTTAATAAAACGTACAACGTACGGCTTTGTATGCCGATTGTCGTGTGTATGAAGAATAAAGTCAACGTTTGTTCAGTACAATACGATATACTGAAAGAGAAAAGACTATAAAATACGGGAGAAAAATGAGAAGTTTATTACCTATCCACTTAATCCGGATCGGTCGACAATAGAATTTGTGATACTTACAACATTATGTAATTAATTGATTATCGGTCCTATTATGTAACTGAGGATGTACGTAACTACGTAATAGAGCATATTTTTTGGTTAGTTCATTTAATGAAGCGTACACACGGCTTTGGTTGCTGATTCTCGTGTGTCAACGTGTTCAGTACAATACGATATATTGAGAGAGATGCTGATGCTCTATTACGTAGACACGTACATCCCTAGTTGCATAATAAGACAGATAATCTATTAATTCCAAAACGTACTAAAAGCGCAAATTCTGTTGTCGAACAATGTAATCAGTATGATTACAGATTAAATAATTATGGAGGTGCATATGAAACATTAAACGATTCATCATTGTGTTAAGTTATACCACATAATTTAACAAAAAGATCAATCATTTAATGTCTCACTTCACACTGGCTCACTCCATTATTATTTAATACTGATTAGAATGGTCGACAATAGAATTTGCACTATTTACTACGTAATACAGCATATTTTTTGGTTAGTTTATTTAATGACATAACCGATAATGTACACACGGTTTTGGGTGCCGATTGTCGTGCACAGAGTCTATAGACTCTGTGATTGTATAAATGAACAAAGAGAAAAGAGCAAGAATTTTCCCAAGCGTATGAAGTTGAGCTCCGGATTAAGTGGATAGGTAATAATTTTCTCTCCCCGACTTACAAGATTGCCATAGCGATTCACTTCTAGACATGTAGGTAAATGATGACTAAAATAAACGATCCAAGATTTTCTCTTGCCGACCAGTATATTATCGTAGTCTTAAAGAAATTAGAATAAAATAAACTATGTTAAAAATGTTCATGTATACTACTGAAATGAAGATAATATATTTAAGCTAAATGTAATCTATTACAGTTGTAGTAAAATGAGTAACTAATTGTCGAAAATCCAGATCCAACCCTAGATGCTTCTACTTATGCGGTTTGAAATTTTGATGCAAAATCTGGCAATACCGCTCAGAAGAAATGTTCCCACCCATACCCACCCAACTTTTTTCTCTTTTTAATACATTTGATTTGCCATTAAGCTGCCTACATCACTGTCTTACACGTTAAAATCCTATACACAGAGTTGACCTGTCCCGATGTGTATATTGATAAAGGTCGCGTAACTGTTAAGACTATTAAAAACCCGACAATTCCACTACTCGGCAGCCGAGTACTAGGTACTCGGCCATTACCTTTACCCGAGTACTCGGTACTCGGTCAAGTTAAAAAACAGGGCTCGTTACAGCCCTACCTAAGACCAATATATAAAATAAATAATGAATAACATAAAATAAATTCAGAAAAGCCCAACAAATCCACAATTAAAATTAATAACTATTTGGCAGTCTTTTTTTTCTGGAATTCGCAATAATGTCACTTTTAATCTGCTCTGACACAATATATCCTAGATTTACTACCTCAGAACAAAACCGATTGTAAAATAAATAACATAAAATCAGCTCAAAAAACCAAACAACTCCGCAAAATTTTAAATCAAATATAAATGTGTCAATTGATGTGTGATCTTTTTATTCAAAAGGTAATTCAGATATTGCAATCGCAAAACATTTTCCGATGCACGTCATCAATCATATCGACATTGACACTAAAGTCTATAAACCTGACCATAGATAAAAGAAAATAATCTTCTATTAAGATAGATATAAAACTTAATACTAAAATTTTGGGTCAAAGCGCCCCTCCGTGTTCTTAGTAGAGACTACGTTTAACCTTCGCCTTTTCTGCTGTAAATATTTTTTATGTTTATATTTGATTTCCAAGGATTTAGTTTTAAAGTTACACTGATATATTAATATATCAGAGTAACTTTAATAAAACATAAGAATCCTGCGAAAATCGGGCTTTTTTCACAGAAAAGGTATTTTTTGATTTATCAACAATCATTGTCAAGTTGACAATATACAGGGTGTTTTCTAATTAGTCTAAAAAATTGTGGTGTGATTTCTCATGTGTTCTTAAAACAATTTTTATATAACTATTGGGTCTAAAGTACTTCCCCTTTCTGATCTACAGGGTGTTAAAAATTTAAAAACAAAACGATATTTTGCTTAACATAAATGGTACACTACTGCTTTTTTAAAGAAAATATATTTTTTTCTTGACTGGCCATCTTTTTTCAACAAAATTGATCTTTTGAGTTTTTCTTGTTCATCAAACGGTTGCCGAGAAAAAAATAAATATACTTATTAAGAGTCCGCCTTAAGCCGTTTTCTAACGATGTTTTATTTTTTAGATTAATTAGGAAACACCCTGTATATGCATATCACAGGCAACCAAATAAACTAGTAACCTCTAAAAATTATTTTCCTACCACTAGCGACATACCGTGTGAGTACTGAATTATTTTATCAAAATTTCACCATATAAGTTTCCAGGCAATGAACCTGACTAAATGAAATTTTGACAAAAATGTTTAAATTTGTTGTATAATTTAAGATACCGAGCAGCTCTTCATTTTACTTTATAGAGCAAATGATTGTAACAGATATTTTATTTAGATTAAAGTTGCAAAATTTAGTTTAAAACGAATTTTATTATCGCTATGTTAGTCACATTGCGTCGTGTTCAGCAATGTTGTCCTTTATTATTTGACAATTATTCAATTATCCTAGTCAGTATTTTGTATAATATCGTGTTGTTTAATATTTGTGAGTAATTCTCGTTTTTCTTTTGCTTATTTTCATAGTATTTTTTTTAAATTGCATTTTTAAGCACAAACAGTCCTTTTAAGAACTAAATTTTCAAGTTTTTGTATTGCATTTCTTGAAATTGTGTTTTAAAAATATGTCGAAGCATTTGAACAGTCGAAGCAAAGAGCTTCCTTGTTTTTTTTAACTATTTTGAACGAGAACGTGACAATAAAGGTCCTTTATTACCCTTGACTGCAGTCAGAAAATAAGTTTGATTGATAAGCACATCATACCACTTTCAAAGTTAGTTTTTATTAAATTCTGTGATTATTAGTTTGTGCATTAATAGCACCCCCTTACTTGATATTACCACTTATGGCGTTGTAAGATGTACATCAATAAATAAATGCTATAATAATGCTTATAATAATGGATTAGTTTTTGCCAATATGTAATAAGTAAAATAAGCTATAAAACAAATAAATCAATTAATCACTAAAATATTAGTTATTAAATTAAAAATAAAACGTAAAACTCTTTAAAAATGATATAGTAATATATAATATTGTTTGTCAATTTTAAATTAAGATTCATCTCATAAATCCATCACAATATGGCAGCGCTGTCGCCATCGCTTGTCACTCAAGGTTGACCACGTGCATCGGAAATTGTTTTGCGATTACCATATATGTTAATTAGCAACAAATGACGTAAGAATAGTTTAAAGTTTTAGTTTGACAAAAATCAATGAAAAATATAAGATATTAAAAATTTTATAAGAAAACTATTATTTCTTTATACCATCACATAACATTTTTTTATATTTTGAGGTATCCTTACCTGCTTACTAAACGCATCACAGTAATTGGCACAGTCATTCACCCGTAAAAATTGAGCCACGTCAAAGACGTTCCACTCGTCAGGACACAGTTCACCAACCAAGTCATTTGAACTACTAGTGTTGTCTATCAATCTAGGTATGAGTTTTGAACTTGCATTCGATGACGACTAAAAACATTAAATTATTAACAGTATTCCAGATAATTTGTTTCGGGTAACTTACACTAACATAAGTAGTAGGTTTCCTTTCGGGAGGTGGTTCACTTAGAGTGGAACTGACATTGGTAACCATGCTTAACTCATTACTGGCCACTGGTAAACTTTGGTCTGGACCAGCAGGTTCTTGACCTGAAATGATATAGATTTTATAATAAAAATTTGTATAAAATAAAAAATATAAATTATTTTAGTTTTATATCGCTATTTAAGTTCTTAAGAGTCCATTTCACTAGTCCGAAAAAGTAGCAAAATAAGCGTTCGGCATTTAAAGGTACGGTCTCGCTGGAGCCGTCAATGGCGACCGTCGACGGTTGTCGTTGACGGCAACCGTTGAACGCTATCCTATCATGTATTCTTTGGCTAGGCCACAGCATAAAATAATTAACTAGAGAGAAGTGTCAACTCTGTGTTAAATCGTGGAAACACGATACGCCACCGAAAGCCTTCGTTGTCGTCTGGAGAACTAATTTTCCAATTGACAGGTTGACATGATAAGGACATGATGGCTTAATTTTCATTTCCGTTTCCGGTTATTCAATGGCGGGTCCTCTTTCAGTTCAAATGTATTTTGTATTTTTACTTTTCATAAATAAAACCAAAAATTATTTATTCACATATATTTATTTGAAATATGGAACAACGTGACTAAATAAATATAAAAATATAGAGGATTGTATTGTTTCAATACCAATTAGTTAATTATATGCACTTTTAACGTAAATTAGTTAAGGTATAAGCATGACTTACAGTAATTTGTAAATAAACACACGCATTCGCAAACTTCAAGGACAGAAAACGGACACAGGAACATGAAAACGGGAGCCTTATACAAAAACCTGAAAACAGAAAAACAATTTTTTTATACAAAAATTAACAATGTAAAAATATCAATAGGTATAAAATATAAATAAACTGTTTAAAAAAAGCGTCCATTATTCCCAAAGAACCTGGCTTATAAATCAAAAAGATGCAAAAAGAGACTTTTAGTCGGATAACATAATCAGATTATCAGTCCGATTTATTGCTTTATTGACAATAAATCGCACATACTGGAGATAACTAATGTTGGCTATAGTTAAAAATGATCTTACCTTGCTGTAAATTGTTTCCATTTTCAAAAAAATCGCCGATCAAAGAGATTATAACACCATTTTCTTGCATCTAAAAAATGTAAAAACAGTGTTTATTTACTACCTATTTTTGATATACATGGGACATACCTACTACTGCAGAAACGTCATTTTCTCCAGGATTCTTCATGTAATTTATATTTTATATACTTTATTACCTTTATATTTATAAATTTCAGCCGAAATATTAAATTGAACTTCCAAAACGAAACTAAACGGAATGAATTAAAATGGCGTCGAATATTTTCGAATTTGTTCTAGAACAAATCTGAAGTTGTCTCTGAAACTGAAATCTGTCAATTCTAAACTGTGAAGTTAGACAATAGTTAGACAAAAACAATGCTGTCCTTGTCTAGGCGGCCATACTTGTCGTGAGGAGAATGACAGGAATGACACTAATGACTGTTTCCAATTTTCCTATTTCACTGTCACCCCCCTGGGCCACAGTAGCCGCCAACAGTCGCGCTTTAACATCCGGTGAGTGTGCATCATGAAGAGAAAACTATTAGCCCTTTTGCTTTTAGAAGAGGAAGAAGACGAAGAAATTATAAAATATTTGAACATGAGAAAAAGATCGACAACTCATAATATTTTTCTTAGAAGACGTAGCGAAGGAAGTTTCAGTTTACTAATTAGTGAACATTTGAAAGGCGATGAAAAGTTCAGAGAATTTTTTCGATTAAACAAGGATCAATTTTACTTTGTGCTCAGTATAGTGGAAAATGATTTAAAGAAGGCGTCCACTAATGTAGTTAAATACCCCATAACTCCAGGCGGCGCGTTCAGACTGGTATATCAAGCAGTCAGGCGTAAAGTCCCTAGATATATAAAGTACCGCAATTGGTTTGTTCAATGTTATTGGCGCCAAAATGGCGGATTTTTGGGGTTTTTCTGGAAAAACTGTAGTGGTAGGACTGTTTAAATGTCACATTTGTCTGAATTTGTCATGTCAAATGTTGAGAAGCTGTCAATTTCAGAATAAAAATATTTATCCACATATTTTAAAATAATTATAAAGCCACTAAAATGCTACAAATTTATTAGTTAATAATGTATAGGCGTCGATATCTTTAGTGAAGAAATGTGTATTACAAAAAAAGGCTGCCATTTAATGTGTTTTCATCGTCGAGATTCAATACACGTTAGGTAGTGGATTGAATTTATTTATGCTCCAGTGAATATTTTTAACAATCTTATTTGTAGTATATAACCTATTGGTACATAAAACTTCATTGTAGAACAAGACAAGACCACAATAGATCTGAGAAGGTCGCAGTGGGTCAGGCCGAGATCCACCTCTAGAAATCTAATCTAGAACAAGACAAAGACCTTACTTGCAAACTACCATACATATCTTTTAAAAAGGATGCTAAGTGTAAGTGAAATCTTTACGTAATCATTCCCTAAAATGTTTAGTGCAGTTTAGTTTTCAACATTTTGCAGTAAGAAGTTTAGATAAATCTACAATATATTATCATCAGACCAAAGGCAGGATAATTATTTAAAAGAATAAGTTATGTTATGATACATATATAGATGTGGATGACATCGCTTCAGGTGGTTTTACCAGTCAGGACTAACAGGGATATTAATCAAAACAATGAAAAAAAGCTCAAATAAATTTGATCCTAATAACAAGAATGTTATTTATGCATATGCTAACTATACAGTTATTTTCATGGACTTAAATAGATTAGTTTTTATGTATTTATTGATAGTAATTAATATTTTTTGGTTCATATTGTAATTACTAATAAAAAGTAAATAATATAATGTAAGCATGTAAAGTTATATTTAAAAATTTGGTCTTATACTGTCAGTTATAAATAAAAGTGTGTGATTTAAATTTGATTTTTATACATGACATAAAATTGTTAAGATTCATTTGAAGTTTTACATTGTCGAGATAAAATAATGCCTACTTAATTTATGTATAATAATAATTACAGTTATTTCAATGTTAAATTTATAGCAGTATAACTTTTTTATAATAATGATACTTAAACATTATGACACTCGTTTTAAAAATATAACATTAAATTGCAGAGCAAAATATATTTTAATTGTATTATTTGGTATTAACTTGCTTTTATTCAATTAATAATAAATGTGTTGTATAAAAATCACTCCATAACATACAAACCTTAATTATACAGCACACATAAAGAGCTCCTATGCGTTTCAAGCTTCTTTCTAAGTTATTTTTAAATTAAGTGCACAATTACATACCTAAAATGCCGAAACTACCTGAAGTAATACTAATTGAAACAATCTTTCTATCAGTATATTAATATATTTCAAAAATAACAGGTATGTATCATATCAATTTAATTATTACATTTATTTGTTTCAACCATGGTTCAAAATTTTCTCGTATAAAAGCCGGCCTTCAAATTTAAGTTTGTAGCTTATTGCTAGATTCATAGTTCCAAAGACTTTCGTTAAATCATGCTTATTTGTCAAAACTAACTACAGCATAACTGGTATAATAGGGAAAGTTTACTTATGGTATATGTATCCCGTTCTCATCAACAAAGTTTTTCCAATTGTTTCGACTGAATTAAGTACTAAAATGCAAAATGTTATTCTAACTTTATTTCTTCTTACCTATTAACTTACTTCTATTGGCGTACTTTGCGCTAAAAGGTAACATAAAATAAATGCTAATACAACTGAAAAGCACTTGTACGGAAACCATTCGTTTATAACCTCTTAACATATATAGGCCTAAAACAGCAAAATGTTGGCCTCCTTTTTAAATTTGCCGCTAGTTTTGGCGCCAATATGGCGGTAATTGCAGTACTTTATATATCTAGGGACTTTAGTCAGGCGCTGTCGGCAGCGCCGGGAAAGAACGGCGGACGCGATGATACGCGCTAAAGAAACCATGCCTATTGAAACCGATGAATTGCAGTAGGCGCCGTCAACGGCAACCGTTGACGGCTCCAGCAAAACCGTACCTTAACGTTTTATATAAAACTGGCTAGGTATTTTTACACAAATGAAGAAGTAAATTAAAGATAAAGGATTATACTATATCCGTATTGTATGTTTAAACATCAACAAAATATTCCTTATGATTGGACTAAATTTTCTCTAAAATAAAGACATAATTTAAAATTCCGTTACAATATGGAAATAGATTGAAGTTTTGTGATTACAGTGGTATATAATTTATATAGTTTTGTAACAAATTGCTCGCTATTTTTGGCAAATGCTGAAGCTTTGCAAGCCTTAATACTTTTACGACAGGATCAAGCTAAGGCAGATTTCTGAAATATAATATTCAGAACTCAGAAGAAACTAAGCGAACTTCAAGAAGCTAAGCGCGGCCTGTTTTGCGCTAAGATCAGTTTCTAAGGAACTTAACTTATCAACCTCTAGTATAGCCTATTATGCCCTTTTTGAGTCACATTCCCTCGGCCCTTCCATTTTATGGTACTTGCTGCGCAACAAAATTTGATCGTATTTTCAAACTTCAAAAGAGAGCAGTTCGATATTTATTGGGACTGAACAGTAGAACTCACTGCCTGAATTTCTTTAAAAATTTCAAAATACTGACTCTTCCTTCTTTATTCATTTTTGAATCCGTTTGCCTAATCCGCAAGCCCATATCTGCTATTCCCAAAAGGCCATCACACAACTATCCACTTAGGAATGCGGAGCACGATCTTTATCTGCCAACCCCGAACTCAGAACTAGTTAAAGGCTCAATACTGTACAATGCCAAAAAAGAATACAATTATCTGCCTTTGAATATCAGGTCGCTTTCATTCTTTCTCGCATTTCGCGAAGCTCTGAAATCATACTTACTGGAGAGCCCTATATGCGGTAAACGACTTTTTTGTTGATGTTTAATTTATCATTTCACACACTGGTCAAAACTCTTAAAATTATATCCATTTACAATTTTCCTATTGTAAAATTTTATTGATACGCCTTTTTTTGTGTTCTACAATTGTCCATGTATGTTCTATTTGTAATTTTAATGACTTAATTTTTTTTTAATTGTATGATTTGTATTGTATATTTTTTATTATTTGTATATTTTTTGTGCTTTTGTTTGTTTTGTAAATGCTCTGTCGATAAAGCTATACACTTAGCTTTTTGCACAATAAAGCGTTATTTATTATTAATATATAATTCATTCGGCCACATACCCGATTTACCCCACCTCTGAGAGCAACCCAAACAGTACAGCGTAATAGACTCTTAAGTGAATTTATAGTTTATCTGAAGTCAATTGGAATAGACTGGGACTCTTAGCCGCTGATTACATTGGATGCGTGTCCGTACGTTTTTTTGGTCGTACGTGCTCGGACGTGCACGCAGCGAAAAACAAACAAATGGTATCTACGCAGGCGGTTACATTGCATCGGAGTTTGCGTGACCGTGCACGTACGTCGGATTTCCGTTGGTCGGATGAAAACAAACTGGTTTGTTTTTTTAATACGTGCACGTCCGAGCGAATTTTTATATCTCTGGGCCCAATACATTCCCGAAAAAATTGAATATTTTTGAATACCAGGTTTATTTTTATTTTAGATCTATTAATGTTGCTGGAAACATTCTAAAATATTCAAAAAATTTGACCGGTTGCTGTTTTAATTCACTAAATATTTTACATAATCATTTTCTTCCCCTTTTCTTGCATATAAATCATTTACCTAACATTTTCCTCAATCAATAACAATCCTCAGACAGCATCTCGACATACAGGACACCATGAACGCGCATCTAATGTAAACACTAAAATAAAATAGTCGTGCGAGTAAATTCCGTCAGAGCTTGCACGTTTGAAAAAGCGCACGGACCCGCGTCCAATGTAACCGCGGGATTAGGGCTCTAACTCACTGACGACCAGGTCGCAACGACCTGGCGTCGGCTGGCCGGATGCATTGCGTTTATAGCTGCGGCCAGATGAACGACCAGTTTCAACAGAGTTGTCAGATCTAACGATTTTTTACGTTTTACCAATTAGAAAATATTGTTTCAGAAATGTTAAAATCCGAGTTAACTAAAAAGCGAAGTTGCTATTCATGAGCTTATTAAATGTTCTAATATTAAATCATGCATTTAAAATATTCTTGGATTTTTCTTTAATAAATACTGGTGTGGTAAATGGAGTAAGCAAAATCTCCAACCCCGACTAAGCAAAATTCGTTAATAAATACTGGTGTGGTAAATGGAGCAAGTAAAATCTCCAACCCCGTTATTTGCATGTTTTTCAAATCCGCGATGCCTGCTAATCCATCAGTCGTTTCATAACAGAATATTCTACATCCTACGTCTATGTAATTTAATATGTGTAGAGTGAGACATGTAACTCGAGAGATTTTCAGCATTATATCAATAAAGGACAAAAACAGTATTGTTCCTAAAGGTGCGTCCAGACTTGAGCATTTTAGCCCGAACGAACCGAGCGCGCACGAACAAGCAGAACAAATAGGCCGAACAAAAAGCATTTTGTACGCGCGACCGACAAAAAGGGAGATATTCTGTTTCCTTTTTCTACTGATGGCTCTTATCGACTTTAGAAATAAACATATTAGGGCCATCGTAAAAAAGGTCGTCAGACACTGGCTCTAAATATAAGCAGGTAGAAAGTTTAGCTTCCAGTTATTTCAATTTTTACAATATAAATTCCTCTTTTTTATTGTTACTGAGAATCTACAACAGTCATTACTTCTATTTTTATGAACGTTTAAGTTACTTTTACTCTTAATTTTTTTTAAAAATAATGTACCTAGTAGAAATATAGTCTAATGAACCCTGTTTGAAAAACGTTAAATTAATTATAATATTTAAAATACAGTTGTCCTCCTTGTATATGACTACAATACAACTAAAAAAACTAATTTAATAAAAAAAAACAAGTGGTTGTAGAAAAACTTTAAATATTATTTTTTTATTTTTTAACCATCGAAACTCGAAGGTATAATAACAGGTATCATACCAACCATAAATAGAGTAGGTATGTCATATAAAAATGTTTTGAAATTTTACTAAAATCGACCCTTGATAAAAAAAAGGGACTAGATTTAAGTTTCCCTTTGATCCAGTCTGTAGACTATTTCTTTGGATTTTCTGCACGTGTGCAAAAACTACATTAAAACACTATATCTTATAGAAAATAAAATATTGTGCGTTGAATTTGAGGGATTTCATCTGAAAAATTATTAATTTGGAAGAAAACCGGCAACAAGCGGCAGAAAATAATAATATTTTAGTGCAGTATACTGGTCGCAACGACCAACGGACGGCCAGGACGTTAGTGTGCGCGGTATCATTTGATTTAATGGTTTTAGAGGTAGCAGCGGCCTAGCCGGTGCGACCTGGTCGTCAGTGTGCTCGAGCCCTTAATTTCGGCATTGTCTTTGTCGGCATCGTCGGGATAAAGGAATTAAGACTCTCAATACTTCCAATTGACTTCGGAAATACTATACCTGTTTCTGGTTCATGGGTATCTTCACTGATTTCACTCTTTAGATCTATACTGGTATGATCAATTGACTGATCATCCTCTATTTCTTGTTCTTCATTTACCTGAGTTGCAAATTCATAAGATTCGTATGATTCTGGCGGTTCCTGAAAATATAAAACCCGTGTTTAAAACAAAGAAATAACTTAAAAAAATGTTATTTAAAATAAGAGAAATTTTTCATGAATTATTCTTCACGTTATACATGGTTGGAAACGATCGGTTTAGTGTTCCGTGTGTAAGAAGAGTAGAGTGAATCTGAGCAATACATTGAAATGTATATGTATGAACTATTATGTATGTGAGTGTAATAAACACACGCACACTCTCTCTCACACTCTAACATACAAAATTTCTAAAATTCTCAGGCATGTAAATACCTAGTCAAGACCCTCTCTTGCCGATTTTATATAAAAGCGTTATTGTAGTGTTGTAGTATTTTGCAAAAATTTTAAATAAAAACTATGTTGTGGTACTTACCTTTATTGTTTTAGTTGAATGAGTGGTTGATGCCGTACTGCCAGTAGAACCGATTTTGGCATTATCCTTGTTTTTCTTTTTTCTATTTTTTCTTTTGACTAAAATTTAAACACATTATTTAATACAGTTCATCCGCAGTATATGCCAAAAGACTAAAAATAAAACATATTTTTATACCCTTTATCTCAAGAAAATAATACCCAATCAAATTTTAGATTATACTGGAAAGAGCAGTTTAAAACATGAACTATTTTTAGAATATTTTATTTGAAGATTATCATTATAATGTTAATGCCTTTTTGTAAATTCTTAATGTAATGCCTTTTCCTTGATACACTATAAATATTTTTATTGAAATGAACAAAATTCTTACAGCTTTAGTGTATATTAATAAATAATATTTTCTTGCCTTTAGCTGTGTATTTTTTCTAATTTCGAAAAATCGAAAGTAGAGAAAAAATAAAAAGTAAAAAGAAAATTGTTTTGCTTGTCGTAAAGGGGGGAACCAAGCTCCACTCCCATAACCGAGAGTGAAGCTTGGTTCCCCCAACCAAGCTCCACTCCCACAACCGAGAGTGAAGCTTGGTTCCCCCCTTTACGACAAGCAAAACAATTTTCTTTTTACTTTTTATTTTTTTATTTTTTCTCTACTTTCGATTTTTCGAAATCAGAAAAAATACACAGCTAGAGGCAAGAAAATATTATTTATTAATATACACTAAAGGCTGTAAGAATTTTTTTCATTTCATATATTTGAGCGGGCCGAAAAACGATCATTACCATCTTTTGACGGGAGATGCACTAATATCTCACCGACACTTTACGACATCATCTGTTGATATAGAAGGAGTTTTGCTTGCCGTATCGGTGAGAACCAGCCCCTGGACAGCCCACCTAATGAAGGGTAGGCCCAGAAACCTGTTGTGGGAGTGGATCTTGGTTCCCCCCTTTACGACAAGCAAAACAATTTTCTTTACTTTTTATTTTTCTCTACTTTCGATTTTTCGAAATTAGAAAAAATACACAGCTAAAGGCAAGAAAATATTATTTATTAATATACACTAATGGCTGTAAGGATTTTGTTCATTTCATATATATTTGAGCGGGCCGAAAAACGCTCTTTACCATCTTTTGACGGGAGATGCACTAATATCTCACCGACACTTTACGACATCGTCTGTTGATATAGAAGGAGTTTTGCTTGCCGTATCGGTGAGAACCAGCCCCTGGACAGCCCACCTGATGAAGGGTAGGCCCAGAAACCGGTTGTGGGAGTGGAGCTTGGTTCCCCCCTTTACGACAAGCAAAACAATTTTCTTTTTACTTTTTCTTTTTCTTTCTCTACTTTAGATTTTTCGAAATTAGAAAAAATATACAGCTAAAGGCAAGAAAATATTATTTATTAATATACACTAAAGCTGCAAGAATTTTGTTCATTTCATATATATTTGAGCGGGCCGAAAAACACTTTTTACCATCTTTTGACGGGAGATGCACTAATATCTCACCGACACTTTACGACATCGTGTGTTGATATTGAAAAAGTTTTGCTTGCCATATCGGTGAGAACCAGCCCCTGGACAGCCCACCTGATGAAGGGTAGGCCCAGAAACCGGTTGTGGGAGTGGAGCTTGGTTCCCCCCTTTACGACAAGCAAAACAATTTTCTTTTTACTTTTTATTTTTTCTCTACTTTCGATTTTTCGAAATTAGAAAAAATACACAGCTAAAGGCAAGAAAATATTATTTATTAATATACACTAATGGCTGTAAGAATTTTGTTCATTTCATATATATTTGAGCGGGCCGAAAAACGCTCTTTACCATCTTTTGACGGGAGATGCACTAATATCTCACCGACACTTTACGACATCGTCTGTTGATATAGAAGGAGTTTTGCTTGCCGTATCGGTGAGAACCAGCCCCTGGACAGCCCACCTAATGAAGGGTAGGCCCAGAAACCTGTTGTGGGAGTGGAGCTTGGTTCCCCCCTTTACGACAAGCAAAACAATTTTCTTTTTACTTTTTATTTTTTCTCTACTTTCGATTTTTCGAAATTAGAAAAAATACACAGCTAAAGGCAAGAAAATATTATTTATTAATATACACTAATGGCTGTTAGAATTTTGTTCATTTCATATATATTTGAGCGGGCCGAAAAACGCTCTTTACCATCTTTTGACGGGAGATGCACTAATATCTCACCGACACTTCACGATATCGTCTGTTGATATAGAAGGAGTTTTGCTTGCCGTATCGGTGAGAACCAGCCCCTGGACAGCCCACGTAATGAAGGGTAGGCCCAGAAACCTGTTGTGGGAGTGGAGCTTGGTTCCCCCCTTTACGACAAGCAAAACAATTTTCTTTTTACTTTTTCTCTACTTTCGATTTTTCGAAATTAGAAAAAATACACAGCTAAAGGCAAGAAAATATTATTTATTAATATACACTAAAGGCTGTAAGAATTTTGTTCATTTCATATATATTTGAGCGGGCCGAAAGACGCTCTTTACCATCTTTTGACGGGAGATGCACTAATATCTCACCGACACTTTACGACATCGTCTGTTGATATAGAAGGAGTTTGCTTGCCGTATCGGCGATAACCAGCCCCTGGACAGCCCACCTAATGAAGGGTAGGCCCAGAAACTGGTTGTGGGAGTGGAGCTTGGTTCTCCCCTTTACGACAAGCAAAACAATTTTCTTTTTACTTTTTTATTTTTTCTCTGCTTTCGATTTTTATTTTTTCTCTATCTCGAGTCATACACCCTGCACACCATACATAACCCTGCCCTTAAACACCTTATCGGGTATAAACTATTGTCCGATAAGGTGTTTAAGGGCAGGGTTCGTGGCTGGTTACTTGAAAATCCACTGTATGACTCGAGGGAGTTTCTTTCAAGTGATATACATATTAATCTCACTTGATGGAAATTCCTTCTACAACAGAATGTGGGAACTGGAAACTCCCACCCTATATTTATATTACAATGTATTAACTAGAGTATATAATTGTCATTGTATACCAATCTAATATGATGGTCTTAACTTTATGTCTTTTGTTTTAATTTTTAAGTTAATTGTGTTTTATATATGTATTTTATTTTATATTTTGACTTATGTACGCCACTATTTGTATGGTATTGACATCAATAAATTATTCTATTCTATTCTATTTTTCGAAATTAGAAAAAATACACAGCTAAAGGCAAGAAAATATTATTTATTAATATTTTTATTTTGACATTTATTTACTCATATTTCATACCTTTTGGACTTTTTGTTGTAGGCGCATTATGGACTGGCGGACCTTCGAGTTTGTGCCCCACACTCTGACACCAACCCACTGGATAGATGTCCGAACTTTCGCAATCTAACCACTGGTCGAATTCCTCCTCCCAACCATCAAAATGAACCTAAAAAATTATAAGTATTCAAGAAGTTCATTAAAAGTGATTCAGGGCCAGAATTCTGGAACTTCTACAGAAAAACGTTACGCTATCAAAGCGGTAAGCGGAAGTATTCGATTAGCGGAACGCCAAGCAGTCGATTTTGATATTCTCCGTGACAGTTGCCGTGTGAATCGTTTTCTGGATACGCGTTGAGCACATATTGGCAGCATCGCAATTTCTCAGGTATCTAACAGTCAAAAGTGGATAAAACGATGAAAAATGTCAATGTTACGTGAATTTCATAACCTATATTGTTGAGTTATGTCAACCTATCTTTCTATAGATATTAGTAGTGGGAACTATCGAATGAATACTATCGAAACATTCGATAGTTGCAATTCATTCGAATAATTCGATAGCTGGTAAGAAAACATTCGTTGAAAACTATTCGAATAAAAATTATCGAATAGATACGTCATCTGCCTTGAAATATTGTATTCTAGTAATGCGGCAGCAAAAACCATTCATTTATAAAATTCATTCATTTATGAAATTCATTTATTCGTCAGGATCGATTATAATAAAATATTAACTGAATTTTAGTTGTCGCCCGGCGACGTAGGTTTCTTTCCGAGAAACCCGACAGCGGTCGGTGGCAATGCCATAAAAGAAGCCGGCATCTTTGATTTTTTGCGGAGTCATATAAAGATAAGGACACATTATTTTTTTTATTGAGGTGCTAGTATTTACACAGAAAATACATTATGAAGGGCGCTGTTGCCATATATTGGTGTTAGTTGATATTAGCAAAGAATATTATTGTTTGGCTTTAGTTAGTTAGGGATAGTATGTCTATATATTTTGCATTTTTTATTAATATTCTGTTGTTACACTGCAATAATACTTGTTATTTTGGATGTAGGAAAATTATTTTTAATGTTTTTAAGCAAAGACTGGTTTAATAAAAAATAATAATAACAGTAATAATTTGTTATACCTATTAACAACAAAATTTAAAATAATTTAATATAAACATTTTTTTTACGTAGTAGCACAATATAAACAACAAATTAGATGTCAAAATTATTTATATTAAATCCTATTTAAAAATAATATAGTTTTTAAATTTTTTGGCAACGTTGGTTTATTAAATAATAATAATTACAGAACTAATTTGTTATATTAACAACAAACTTTAAAATCATAAAATATAAACATTTATTAATTTTCTAAGCATGCAGTGTAATGGAAGGAAAATATAAATAAAAAATTAGAAATTAAAATTATTTATATTAGGTACTTTATATTACTATTTAAAAATAATATTTACTTTTACGGGCATTTACTTTAAAAAATAAATGAAATATATATTTCTTTGCAAAAAACTACATGTAAGAGAAGCATAAACAAAATATAAACATTGTTAACTTTTTTTTTTAATTCGCACGTGTAAAACTTTCAATTTAATTTTCTCATCCCATAGTTTCAGTTCGATAACCATTTACTTAACCACATTACTTAAATATGATTATTAAGTTCAACTAATTCATATTATTACAACATCTAAAATATAAATATGTATTTTTAAAATTAATTCTAAGTTCATCTCATCTCTCTTAAAAATTGCTACTTCTCAAAATTTCCCATTAAAAAATACACCATATACCATATAAAATAAAATAATTGAAAGATCGGGCTACGGAAAATCACACAAATTTTCGGAAAAATTTTGACCACCTGCACACGCACACAATCGTCAATTAAAAAAAAAATACTAGTTTAGTATTTTAAATATTTTAATAAACGCAAAAATAGCACGGTATTTATAAGGCGAAGTTATAAATATTTGGAAGAACTAATAATGCACTCACGCACACAAAAATCAAACGAATACTAAATTTCATTTATCAAAAGCATTCGATAGTCGTGGCTCAACGATAACCATTTAGTCGCACGGCGAGGTTGACACATATGCTTTAGTATACAAATGAATGAATGATTTTATTCAAATAAAACCATTCGATAGTTGAAATCATTCATTCAGTAACCATCGCTAATAGATATGTCATTATTCTTATTATACGAGGCAAATACGAGGGAAATGTGAAGACCCTTCTCAGCATTTTCCAAGTTTTGAACAATATTTATATTGTAATCGCAAAACATTTTCCGATGCACGTCATCAATCATATCGACATTGACACTAAAGTCTATAAACCTGACTAAATGAAATTTTCGCAAAAATGTTTAAATTTGTTGTATAATTTAAGATACCGAGCAGCTCTTCATTTTACTTTATAAAGCAAATTATTGTAACAGATATTTTATTTAGATTAAAGCTGCAAAAAATAGTTTAAACCGAATTTTGTTATCGCTATGTTGGTCACATTGCGCCGTGTTCAGCAATGTTGTTATCTTTATTATTTGACAATTATCCTAGTGTCAGTCATTATTTTGTATAATATCGTGTTGTTCGTGAATGTGAGTAATTATCGTTTTATTACCTATTTTCATAGTTTTTTTTAAAAATTGCACTTTAAGCGCAAACGGTTTTACAAAACTAAATTTAAGTTTTTGTATTGCATTTCTTGAAATTGTGTGTTGAAAATATGCCGAAACATTTAAACAGTTGAAGCAAAGAGCTTGTAGCTTCCCTGTTTTTTTATTAGATTAGATTATTAAGTTAGTTTTTATTAAATTCTGTGATTATTAGTTTGTGCATTAATAGCACCCTCTTACTTGTTATTACCACTTATGGCGTTGTAAGATATACATCAATAAACAAATAACTCGTAATAACGCTTATAATAATCTTCATAATGGACTAGTTTTTGCCAATATGTAATAAGTAAAATCGAGGGGTGTCTCACTTGGGTAAAAAATGTACATGTATTGCTAAAATATCATGTTACTGCCAAGCGACTGCCAATGACTACGAATAAGACTGCCATGTAAATATTATAAGCGACTGCCGTAAGACTGCCAATGACTGCCAAGAAAATGTAACCGTAATTCCAATAGTAAGACACTCCCCCTGTAAAATAAGCTATAAATCAAAAAATAAATCAATTAAACACTAAAATATTAGTTGTTGTTTGTCAATTTTAAGTTAAGAATCATCTCATAAATCCATCACAATCTGGCAGCGCTGTCGTTATCGCTTGTCACTCAAAGTTGATCACGTGCATCAGAAATTGTTTTGCGATTACCATAGCTGCCAAGTCGTAAATTATCAATTATTGAGGAATTTATAGAAGAAGACATAGTTCTCACTAGAGAGCAAGAGTACGCACAAAATCACAATTTTTTCTATTTTTATTGACAGTTCGACAAGCAAAACGATCCTTTAAGGTAGCCGTTCTCAAATCGCTTAGCGCAATGGGTAGAGACGCTAAGCGCGTCAGATGAGAATGCCCAAATTGGTAGTTAAGTGAGCGCTAAGCAAAAACTAACGCCATATTCTCATTTCTAAGTTACAGAATTCGAGCCCAGGATCTAATTTAGAAAAAAAATAGTTACCTTTAATAATCTACCGACCACTTTATCTATGGTAGCTATACACACCAATCTGGGATCCATTAAATCAGCTGCCTCAATTTTCATGCCTGGTACAAAACCGTGCAATGGGACGTATGTGTTAAACAAGGATGGATCGGCAGGGATGTGACCTGTACCCATCAGGTACTTACTCCAGTCAAAGGTATCCTGTAAGAAAGATTGAAAAATTCATGAAACCTAGATAAAACTTATTGAATTAAATAATGTTATAAAATCTTCTAAGTTAAACTTGGCACTTTTGTAATAGATAAATCCTTAGATCTTATAATCTACGTCGATAAGTAAATTTGCTTCATTCTTGTCAAAAACACATCAAAGACACTCTATTATCTGACTGTCTCTCTGTCTTCGACACTGACTTTATCAATCGTCTGTTTCTTTTTAGGGTTCCGTACCCAAAGGGTAAAAACGGGAACCCTATTACTAAGACTTCGCTGTCCGTCCGTCCGTGCGTCTGTGTCTGTCACAAAGGTCTATCTTATGAACCGTTACAGCTAGACAGTTGAAATTTTTATAGATAATGTATCTATGTTGCCGCTATAAGAACAAATACTAAAAACAGAATTAAATAAATGTTTATAAATAAAAAAGTACTTTCACTAAACATTATCTTTTAAGTAAGAATTTTACATAGAATCTTTCAAGTCCTCGGTCGCTGCGTCGTTAAGGCGTTAGGACTTTATGCTATGACATGACGTTGGAACCGTAGTAAGGCAAGTTCGAATCCTAGTCAAAGCGACTTTTTTTTAATCGTTTTTTTTTTTAATTTTTACATATTTATTTTAACTTTTTACTTATTTATTATTGAATAATACAATTTTTAGTAATGTGTTTCTTCATTTTTTTTAATTACTTATACGCGCATTCAAAATTTCAGCTAAATCGGAAAAAAAGTTTATAGTATCTAATGTTGTATAGATAATGAATGGTACGGGAACCCTTCGTGCGCGACTCGCACTTGACCAATTTTTTGTTTATACATCAGTGTTAAGCTTATCAACAAACTGAGGACCAGCGACTGCCAGTCTGTCTGTCTGAGGACTCCCTTCAGATACCTCTATCCATTTCTCGAGTTTGGTTCCAATCGACCGATAATTAAGAAAAATCCTGATGATTTCGACCATTTAGAGGCATCGGTTCGAAACGTCGAGGGCGTCATCCTGTAGCTCGTCCTCAATTATATCGAAATCGACCCACATTTTTCTTCAATATGAAGTCCTTAGTCCCATCCTGATAAAGATGTAAACGAAACGTAGCGTCGTAGTGGATCGAGGTATACGGAAATATGGACATTTGCTTTTGTTTTAGAGCTATTAGTCTGATTTGGATAATTTACATTTTTTTTAAAGAGAAATTACCATTAGGTGTTTTAGTCCCAAATTTGCTTTTACCAAGAACTCAAGATGGCAGCTTATATATAATACTAAACAAAAGAATTCATGAAACCTAGATAAGAACCTACCTGACCATATCCTTTAGGAGGCGTCAACGGTATATTATGCTTCTGACAAAAACCAACGGGAAATATACACGGCGATTTGACGTGATAACAAAACCAATCAGCCCCTAAACATAATTTAACATCAGTTTTGTTGAAATTTACTTAATCGGAATTCGTACCCATACCTGTAGAGTCGGAATCGTATGTATCTATTCTTATCATAATATACCCATAATTTAAAACGTCCATAACGGTCGCCACGCATATCGATGATAGATTTAAGGGATCGATTGCTTCCAATTTCATTCCGATGGCAAATCCTAATAGAAAAATACGTATAAAAAATAAAGCTTCGTTCAGAACCTCGCAATTAGTGGAATAAATTAGTGATTTCAATTACACTTTATACTTTTTAGTTTACGATCATTCACAATGTATAAAAAACACAATTAAAATTAATAGAATATCCTAGCAACAGCTTGCGTTAGTCAGTTGTATCCAAATATATTATAAGAATATATTGCTAGTAAGGAACAGAAATTAAAGCCAAATTTTTGTGATGGAGCTATACAAAATCTACATAAGTCGGTCCTTTTCGTTCAACAGCTTTGAACTACGCAAGCGTGAGAAGTGCTTCGCGATTAGTTGATTTATTTCATACTAACTAATAGAAGTAGTTTTCTAAGTTTCTATCTACCACGTAAATCAATTTAGCGTCTGACTATTTGCGCCTTTACTTATGGAAACGGATAGATATAATGAATATCTAAAATAACAGGTTGAAATAATGCCATTACCAATAAAAAATAATAAATTATACGTTATTAATATGTATTTAGAGTTTAAAATAGTGCGCGAGCAGGTGACAGCGTAGCGATGAAGTAGACAAATCAGATCGTTTTATTTGGCGCGTGCGCACGAAAATCCTGTTGAACCAAAAGGATAGACTTATGCAAGATTGATTCCTATTTCTTTTCTTTGGATTCACTTTCCACTCATTGTGTAAATGTGGTACATATAGAGAAAGCCTAATACTTAGCTTATAAAACAAACAACTTTTGATTTCTAACCACAATTTCTCCTGACGGAAGATAATCAAAGGCCAAAATGACATTTCTCGCAAATTTTGAAGTATAATTAGTGGAAAAGTTAAAAGTTTGATAACTTTTTCTTTTAAGTGAAAATGTCTACCAACTTCTACTTTTCTAACTAACTTCTACCAAACTTCTATGCTAATTGAAATCACTAATTTATTCCACTTATTGCGAGGTTCTGAATGAAGCTTTAATCAAACCTATTAACAAAAGATTGAATCCCCTTACCTGTGTTACTATGATCCGCAGAACCAACTTGGATGGGGTTGAACAAATCTTCTGTAGCGTCGTCGTCATCTAAAATTCCCTGACTGAGACGTTCGACATAATTTATAGGAGCCACTAAATGATGACCGACCTAAAATAGTTTTTTAATAAAGCAGAAATAATTTAATTGTACAAATTCGGCGGTAGGGTGACAAAAAACAAAAACACCTATTTTTTTTCTTTTACAAGCAACATGAAAAAAGTGAAATATAGCTCATAGTTTGACTGTAGAAAATAGTCTTTTAAAATAGTGAAATACTCAGTTTCTTGCAGACAAGTATGCTACTTGTAGTGACAGACGCTTGCTAGTAAAAAAGGTACTTATATCGCATTACTATCGATTTTGGGTACAGAAAATACATAAAATATAAAGGGTGTCCCAAGATTCCGTGGACATAGAACTACTACGTATTTTTGGAGTCAAACAACTATACAAAAGTGCTTCGTTTGTCCGCTAGAGGGAATCAAACTTTAACACGTTTTCAGATATTTTAAGAACTGTTATTCCAATTTGAGTGAAATTTTGGGTGTTTATGTTTTGCTAAGTGCTCTAACATTTGACTTTCACAAAATCAAGAAAAAGTACGGGAAGGTTTGGTTTGGTTTAGTGGGGTAGTTTTTAGTTTTTACTACCCCACCCCTATATAAATATTAGTATAAATATTTTCCAACTCCACTGACGGCCGATTTTTTTTTTCGTAAAATTATCCTTCTAGTATTTACTATATATTTTGTCTCTTGAAAAAAAAAACGCCACCGTACATACTTTTTGAGGAAAAAAACATTTTCCAAAAGCTGACTTCCAGAAAATGTTTTTTGTCACATCAAGCTATGGAAGCGCATAAAATCCATTATGCTCTAATAATCTAGTTGGCAAAAATATGGAATTTTATGTTAGTATCGCAAATTATATTTGACAATAAGCTTTATAAAAAACTTAAACAAATTATATTTTATAAATTAATTAACGTTTGGGTTTATTTTTTATTGATACCCTCTAACCACAGAATATCTAGCTACGCAACAGAAAAATACTCGAAATGAAAGAGCTAAAATTGCACAAATAGAATACTAGATGGCGCGACAATATCATAATCAGAATATAATTAGAAATTTTGAACTTTCGGTTTTGGATCGATGGCTCGTCGACTGCCTTGTAGCTCGGCTAAATATGCACAGTTGCCAGATTCAAAAAGACTTGAATTGGCATCCCATTCTTTTTACTGTGTATAATTAATGCAGTATGTGTTTCGTTCTATTCTTCTTTTCTTGTTAGATACACTTATATTAATTATTCATTTGGCTATTAAAATAGTTTTAAGTATATTATTACAAAACATATACATTTTTAATATACACTAACTTATAATGTTAACTAAGAAAATAACTTTAATTACCTTTAAAATTAATAATATACAAGGCGATTGATAGTGATATTTATTAATGCTGGAACGTTAGTAATGAAATATAAGTTTAATAATAATGGAAATAATTTATTAAAATGCAGTACAATAAATGTTAACTGACTAAAAAATACTATAATAACAAATTTCTTCCGTTTGCCACGTTATTTATATAGACCTAGGTAGATTTTAAAAAGTGACACAGGCACAATTAATAATATATTAGTTCGGCATAAAAGTTGCTGTCACGACATCGAACAATAAATTAAAATTCGTAAAATAAATTAAAATTATTAATTAAACGAATCTTTATAAAGAAACGCAAGTATACCAAATTTGGCCCAATCGAACTCCAGGAAATGATATCATAATCGAATGCCATGAAATGGTATCGTAATATGGTACTATATTACGGTACCACTTTATATACATCATAGTACAATCATATTACAATGTAACCGAAGATACGTAGTATACCAAGTTTAATCCCAATCGAACGCCATGTAAGTAATATAGTACTATATTATGGTACCAGTTGATATGCTTCATGGTACCATAATAATGCATTGCCATCAAAAATACGCAAGTATATATCAAATATGAGCTCAATCGAACGCCAGGAAATGGTATTGAAATATGGTACTATATTAAGGTACCACTTTATATGCATCATAGTACCATCATATTACAATGTAACCGAAGATACGTAGTATACCAAGTTTAAGTCCAATCGAACGCCAGGAAATGGTATCGTAATATGGTACCTCTTGATACTCCATGGTACCATAATATTACAATATCACCGAAGATACATAGTATCCCAAATTTAAGCCCAATCGAACGCCATGTACATAATATGGTACTATATTATAGTACCAGTTGATATGCTTCATGGTACCATAATAATGCAATGTCATCAAAAATACGAAAGTATATATCAAATATGAGCTCAATCGAACGTCAGGAAATGGTATTGAAATATGGTACTATTTTAAGGTACCACTTTATATGCATCATAGTACCATCATATTACAATGTCACCGAAAATACGTAGTATACCAAGTTTAAGCCCTATTGCCGCCATGTACCTAATATTGCTATGTCATCAAATATGGTACTATAGAAAGTACCACTTTATATGCTCCATGGTACCATGATATTACAATGTCACTGAAGATATAATATATCAAGTTTAAGCCCAATCGAACGCCATGTGTCGTAATATGGTACTATATTATAGTATCACTTGATATGCTTCATGGTACCATAATATTGTAATGTCATGAAAAATAGCATATATCAAATACCGTATGATACCGAAAAAAACGGCGTCCAGTTGGCTGGAAAAGGACGATCGATGACATTTCCCATATAAATTTATATATAAAATGACAGCTATATTAATTTCATAGCCATCGCTAACGCCGTTTTTTCCCGATTATACGATATGAACTTGGTATAAACACAATCGAACGTCAGGAAGTGGTATTATAATAGTAGAACAATACTTATTATGTATATTGTCGCCGAATTACAATGAAAATTCTGGATTCAATTATACAATCAAACGTCAGGAAGTGATTGTAATTTAGCTCATAAGATTTAATTCGAACTAACATGGCAAATTGAAAAAAACAGCTCTGATCTATTTTAATATGTTTAAATGATGTAGCAAATTTGAAGGTAGGCTTTATCAGGTAGTATTACGATATGAATTACACAATGGTAACACTGCACAAAATTCCTTTAAATTTTGTTTGTAGAAAACTGTTTTCTTTTAAATTTATTGCCCTCTATTATGTAGTAGCGAAACTACCGCATCAAAATATCTGATTTGGAGACAGGCGTAAAAGCCTGTCTCCTTTTGCTAGCTACAATTTTATACATGTAACGAGGCTTCTGTTGCGTAGCTAGATATTCTGTGCTCTAACGGACAAACGAAGCACTTTTGTATAAAGGTAAATTATGTTCAATTAACTTATTTTGATCCAAAAAATACGTAGTTGTTCTATAGTCACGGAATATTGGAACTTCCTGTATATTTTGTAGGTCTAGTTTGGAAAAGTAAATTCTCCATTTTTTTTTCACAGAAACTATGCAATGTAGCGTTTTTTACAAGAGACAAAAATGTAGTAAATACTAGAGGGGTCATTTTACGAAAAGAAAATCTGCCCTCGCTGGAGCTGGAAAATATCTATACTAAAATGTTTATATGGGTGGGAGTAGTTTTCACCTTTCCCATACTTTTTTCTTGATTTTTGTGGAAGCCTCAAATGTTAAAGCACTTAGCAAAATATAGACACCCAAAATCTCATTCCCATCAGAATAACGATTCTTAAAATACCTGAACAAATGTGTTTATTTTTTAAAAGTTTGATGCCCTCTAGCGGACAAACGCAGCACTTCTGTATAGAGGTAAATTGTGTCCAATGAACTTATTTTGATTCCAAAATACGTAGTTTTATGTCCACGAAATATTGGGACACCCTGTATATGTAGTTCTTTAAAAGCCGATAGAGAAAAGTTAATGTTTTAATCTATTTTGAGAATTATAAAAAGATGTTAAATAGCAAAAATTTTAGGGAATGTTAAATATTACACAATTTAAAATTACTTTAGAGGATACAGAGGGTGCCTCAAAAGTTATAAGGGTAATTTAATATTTAACATAATATATCTTTCTTTAAATGTGATACATTTTTATTTATTTTTTTTTATACATTTTTTTTGTTTATTTTATAGTAGAGACATTACTTTCAATTTTTAAATTACCTTTTTAGCCCACCCAACTGGATGTAACAAGGGAGAGTCTTCGTGACACCAAAATCCCATATCTTCTTGCGGCAGATCGTAGTACTTAACGTTTAACCGTTTTCCAACAATTTTGTGAACAACGGCCACCTTAACTTGGGAAATATGATTTTTATCTACTACTTCCAGATTCAAGCCAACGTCAAACCTATAAGAAAAAAATACAGGTGGTTTAAAACACTGAAATGGTCTCTAAACATTTTTTTGTTATAGTGGATTTTCTCATCTATACTGTTGATTAAAGAAATAAGAAGATGCGCAACCTTATGGGCGATTTCGTGGCAAAAAATGTCCGAGATGTAGCTGGCGTTACCATTATATGTCCGAGATTTAGTGTAGCTCTGCGCCGCTGCGCGCTGATTACAGTCGAATTGAACTACAGTCGTTTTCTCGTTTACAGCGCAGCGTAAAGAATATTGTACCGTAGTTCTGCTTTCAGTCGGCAGAGTGGGTTGTTGCCGGAGACAGTATTGCCAGAACTACGGATTAATCCGTAGATTTACGGATTTTGGGTACAGTACGTTAATAATACGAATTTTCTATCATTAAACTATTTAATATAATAAGATTAAACAAAGAACGGCATCAAAGTTGGCTTGGGAATGAAGATCGCTGTTATTTCATATGTAAAATAATATGGTAAATGCTAATAGTCGCCATTTCCAAGCCAACTACACAACTTTTAAATAAAATAATTTTATTTTTCTTATTTACTGTATGTTCAACACGAATAAATTTTCAATAAATAAACGTGGATTTTTCATCCAAAGGTATGTCAAACGTATTACAGATACTACACATTTTAATATGGCAATACTGTCGCTTTCCACAACGTCTTTGATATACCTTCGCTAGCCGAATTAAAGAAAATGAGTGTTTTATGCGTTGGCCGCAGAACGAGTAGAGGCTCCACCGTACAACACTCAGTACTTTTATAAACTCCTAAACTGTCTCAAAGATTTTGTTTGTAACAAGGTCTCTTAAAGCCGTTTTACAGTTCTATCTTCACAACTCTTTCAATCAACGTCTATACTTTTTGAGATAGAAATCGTAATTAATATCTAATAGATATCAGTACTTTTATGAACTCCTAAACTGTCTCAAAGGTTTTATTTGTAACAAGGTCTCTTAAGACCGTTTTACAGTTCGCAGTTATACTTGCATGCAAGAAAAGTTGTACCAACTTTTCCTTCAATTCGTGCGCATTCTGACATTCCGACATTTTTTGCAAATAATAGATCCGGGCCTATAATTTCCCAATTTCGTTAAGGTTGGACATTCCGTATGAAACAAAAATGTGCAAATTAAATGCGGCAAAAACAGAATTTCTGTTACTTTCATTGCATTCAAGTAAATTGCCTGTGAAATGGCCTCTAAAAAAGTCAAAGTAACCAGTCTCCAGTAAATTTTACATGATAGTTATTTTGAGCCCAGTAAGACACCCATTTGCATTACCCTCACGCATTAAAAATCGTCGTGAAATCTCGTGAGATGCGTCCAAAGAGTTTACCAAGTTTTTATCTGTCGCAACTCGTCATTAGGAACTGGTAAATCTTCAAAATACTGTAGTATATTCTTCCAAAGAGTTATAGAAATATACAAGTTGTAAAGATAAAGAAATTCGAGTTGTAGAAATAAAAATACCTAGTCAGATTGTAAAAAACAAATTAGTTGCAAAAAATATTCAAGTTAAGGGAGTCTGAGATAAGAGAAATTCTACTGTAGTATGAGAACATCATGCTTATATCTTCTGTGTGAGAGGGGGGTTAATCACCGCAACATTACAGATATATTGTGATACTTATATCTTACCTGGACTTAAGACTTTCACTAGCTTTGTTACTGTAACTTGACGGCAACGTTCTGGCACCCGTCAGTCTTTTTCTTAAAAAGTCCTTCCAATCACTGTATTTATCTTCTATAGTCTTTGGAGGGATTAATGGTTTGCCTCTCGTCGCACACCAACCAACAGGATGAACCTGTCAGTTTTACAGAATTATAATATTACAATATCACCATTAAAAATATCCAAGGTCTCTTGTAAAGTTAAAAGCTTGATAAATTAGAAAACACTGTCAAAATGTATAAACTTTGCTATTATATTAATATTTGTGCTTCTTATATTTTAACTTATATTATTAATATGTAACAAGGATTTAGAGATTAATAAGTACACGAGTGTACTCATTTTTGATTGGTCGATTATATAAATGGACAATCACTAAAAAAATAAACGTACCTGATTAGAAACCAAACTGACCCAAAAATCTTTGGTATCATTAGCACCAAAACCTTCATACCGCAACTGTGCCTTGTATCCAACAATGCGCATGACTGTAGCTACCCAAAAGGAATCAGGAAAGGCGTCTGATACGTTATCGCAGTCCGTGTTTTCTACTTCAACCTGCAAATTCCACACAATTTTTTTAATTTATAATTAAAGTGCTGTAAAAGTATTTCTGTCATGTATTTCTTCGCTGTACCCAAGGACTGTATATATTCTACAGGATTGTTGGATCTCGTCAAATCGCCGCTGTCGAGTCGCCGTGGAATGCTACGTCACGCGCTGACCAGCGCTCCACAGTGCGGCGGATGGTTATTCTAGCGGGACAAAATCTCAAGAGCAATGTTTGGGACATAAAATCTAAGAACGTAGCAAATGGTCTAATATATAGCAACTATATGGTTAAATTTATTTATTTATTAACAACTTAATTTATTAATAAATAAATACAGGATAATAAAACTATGATATTATTCGTACATGACACACAAAAACCGTATTGTAAACTATTACCAAATACATAAACTTATGATATCAAAAAACTCTTTAGCAGTTTTTTTTTTATTTAATTTGTAATCTTGTGACACCCTCTATAATTTATTTTATAAAAATATATTTTATTTTGAAAATAATAAATAAGATAGATATTTTAATTTTAATGTTAACACTCGGTAATTGTAAATTCATATATAGTAAGTATCTAAGACAATTTTTTAAACTCAGTGTCTTTTGATGGAGTTGTTTTGTTTTTATACTATCCGATTGAAATGAATCTTTTTGGGCATTCATCTGTTAAGCTTGAACTCCCTGTGACTGTAACTACCTGTGTTGGTAACTATTGGTAACTCAAAAGATCTACATCATTCAATATATCGATATTTGAAAAAAAAAGTGAAAGTTTGATATCTGCAGAACAAAGGCAGGAAGGATTTTAACAAATAATACACGTACAGTAGAAAAGTACATACCTTTAGCAATCTTCAACATAATTTGGCTTTCTAATAAAATGTATGAGCACTTGTAAATATTTTGTTTTCGTATGATCTCTGCCTTGCTGAGCAGAAAACGACCAAATTTGGTTGATAAAAGTGTATCGAAATACAAAGAATATTCATGCATTTTTGTATCAATTGGAATGTCTACTATTTATTCTTATCAGTACACATTTTTTGGCTTATTTCTAACCAAACACTTTTGTCCCGCTAAATTTATCTTCCAACGCACTGTGCGCTCGTCCGTCAAATGCAAAAATAACTGCCACTGTCTAAAATCTTTAGCGCCAACTTCAACTCGGTCAGTAGATGACGTAAAAAAACTGACAGTGCAGGAAGATAGGAGTCGAACTATCCTTATCTCTGTAGTATCCTTGGCTGTACTGACTATACTCTGATTTTTTGTCGGGTAAGATTTCGACAGACGATGACAGAAGAAAAGCAGATGACGTCCCATACCAATTTATTTATTTTAGTAAAAAAAAATAATATTTTTTAAGTTAACTATGGATGGGTTTAGATATAAATCCGTCATGCGTCGTCTCTTGTTTTTTATTGGTTTTATTTCAAAAATGACAGATCATATTTCAATTTTATTGGTTTGACGGAACGATGAACGACAAACGGACGCCGATACGTATGAACTGACCTTTAGATTTTTGAGACTTGTCAAAGTCTTGCCAAATTATAGGTTATAATTTTGTGTCAACTTATGTCAAATATCTGCGTTTTGGAAGATGATGCATTTTGATTCGTGTTATTATGTGTGTTTTGTGTCTTTTGAAGTCAAGTGGAGGAAAAATCGAGGGAAAATTAACTGTAGACCCAGAGCACAGTTTATAGTTAATACTCGCTGCCCAGGCAGAAAGTCGTCGTAGATAAGTGCATCTTATATATGCTACAAGGATCGTACTAAACATATACCACTGGAGTAGCTGTAAAATATCGACATCACACGTTAGGTAAATAATGGATTTTAGTACTGCAGAAAAATAATGTCAAAAGGTACTGGTTTAAAAAAATTAAGATTAAAGTTAATTAATCAACGTTTAAGGTATAAAATTTGGTAAGTGTTATTATTAATAAAATAGTTTGTTTTATTTATTCCTGTGGAATATTACAAATTTGTATTTGTACATAAGTTATATTGATAATATAATAATAAATGCGGGAAGTTTCTTGAAGCTGAAAGTAAGAAATAGTTCTTTTTTATATTTTTTTTTGTAAGTGGTGTTTTGTCCTTGTTTGTTTTGTATTAGCACATACCGTTTTTTTAAATAAAATAACTCGATTACATTTTTTCAGTTTTATACAGTTTTTTTTCACAATATTTTGAAGTAATCGCTTATCAGTAAAATTTTAAATATATTAATTTTTTGCTATGCGTTCCAGTTGTACCAACTTGTTTCTTTGTAAAACTACTTTGAAATTAAAATGACAGACACATCTATCACTGTCAAGGATCTTGTCGTTGGACAGACTATATACAGGGTGAGTTTCCTACGATGTTCTGTATGGGTATCTCGGAAACTACTGGACATAGAGAGTCGGTTAAATGGGGAAAGAATTGCAGTTTTGTGGGGTCATAAATATGCGCCTTTCAGATTTTTTATTTATTTCGAAGAAAACAAATTTCGGCTATTTTAAAAATTGTCCCTAACTCCATTATAAGCTATTTTAGACAAAAAGTTTTCAGATAAAAGTTGTAGATAATCACATCCTTTATGAGACTGTGCCCTCAGTTTTCCTCTAAAGCCTGTCATTTTTGACATATGACACAAACATATGTTTTTTTAAATGGAAACCATAGTTGGCCATGACTACATAAAAAGCGCCATTTTCTAAGCTTTTCAGCGATATAAGCTATAATATGTTTTCTTCGAAAAATTACAGAGTTATAGCCAGTTCTTATAATTTTTAAACAATTTCACTTAGTTAGCCATGGAAACAAGTTTAATCGTCTTTGCTCTCAGAAATGTGAAGCTGTCACATCCAAATTTTGTAAATTAAAATAAACAAAAATAGTAAATATGAATTTTTCAAATGAAGAAAAGCGTGTAGATACTCCCGCATCAATAGAGTGGTGCCAACATGACTTTTATTACGACCCCCCCTTCATAATGAAAGATATGTTAAAAATTATTTACATCATAATTATGCAAACTCAGGAATAGAAAGAGGTGGACCAATTGCATGGGCCTTCTCGATCACCTGACCTATCTAGTTTAGATTTTTTTTATGCGGTATGGTTAACAATAAGGTTTACAAAAGAATTTGTGAATTAAGAGAGGCAGTCGAAGTGGCGATGACGGTACGAGAGAAGTATAATTAAGTCCACCGGTCCTTCTACGAGAATAGGTAGTAATTCAGTTTTAAAAAGATGCAACTCAAAACAATGGCGGATTTTCTAAAATAACTTAAAGTGTATGCAGTGATATTATTTTTTAAGTTTTAGTTTGTGTAATGTAAATTGTAAGAAACCGTTTAGTAATCTATTCTAACTTTTTATAAGTTTTATAAATCATAATAGAATAAGAATACCATGCAATCCAATTGAAATTAATCAAGAAAGATCAGAATTGGCTATAACTAAATGTAACTTTTCTAACATGTCTTGAAACCCGTTCTCTAACAAACGTAACATTCACCAGTTAACGTATCCTTGAAAATGTATGGTCAAGAAAAGTTGAACCAATAAATCCTACACGCTTTTCTTCATTTGAAAAATTCATTTTTACAATTTTTGCTTATTTTAATTTACAAAGTTTGGATGTGACAGCTTCACATTTCCGAGAGCAAAGACGATTAAACTTGTTTCCATGGCTAACTAAGTAAAATTGTTTAAAAATTATAAAAATTGGCTATAACTCAGTAATTTTTCGAAGAAAACATATTTTAACTTATATCGCTGAAAAGCTTAAAAAATGGCGCTTTTTATGAAGTCATGGCCAACTATGTTTTCCATTTAAAAAAACATGTTTGTGTCATATGTCAAAAATGACAGGCTTTAGAAGAAAACGGAGGGCACAGTCTCATTAAGGATGTGATGATCTTCAACTTTTATCTGAAAACTTTTTGTCTAAAACAGCTTATAATAGAGTTAGGGACAATTTTTAAAATAGCCGAAATTTGTTTTTTTCGAAATATCTAGTAAGCCATAAACTTTTTCAAAAATCTGAAAGGCGCATATTTATGACCCCACAAAACTGCAATTCTTTCCCCATTTAACCGACTCTCTATCTCCAGTAGTTTCCGAGATACCCATAGAGAACATCACCTGAAGACATTACACTGGTCTGCATGAAAATCGGCAATGACACAATTCTTACCGATTCTTATGTAAATATCCTCCTGAATCGAAATATGAACTGCGTTTTTCCCCCATCAAGCCCCGTTTTTGGGGAGTCCCCCTACATATTTTTAATTAGTAGTGGGAACTATCGAATGAATACTATCGAAACATTCGATAGTTGCAATTCATTCGAATAATTCGATAGCTAGTAAGAAAACATTCGTTGAAAACTATTCGAATAAAAATTATCGAATAGATGCGTCATCTGCCTTGAAATATTGTATTCTAGTAATTCGGCAGCAAAAACCATTCATTTATAAAATTCATTCATTTATGAAATTCATTTATTCGTCAGGATCGAATATAATAAAATATTAACTGAATTTTAGTTAGTTAGCGACGTAGGTTTCTTTCCGAGAAACCCGACAGCGGTCGGTGGCAATGCTATGAAAGAAGCCGGCATCTTTGATTTTTTGCGGAGTCCGATAAAGATAAGGACACATTATTTTTTTTTATTGAGGTGCTAGTATTTACACAGAAAATACATCATGAAGGGCGCTGTTGCCATATAGTGGTATTAGTTGATATGAGCAAGGAATATTATTGTTTGGCTTTACTTAGTTAGGGATAGTATGTCTATATATTTTGCATTTTTTTTTATTAATATTCTGTTGTTACACTGCAATAATACTTGTTATTTTGGATGTAGGAAAATTATTTTTAATGTTTTTAAGCAAAGACTGGTTTAATAAATAATAATAACAGTAATAATTTGTTATACTTATTAACAACAAAATTTAAAATCATTTAATATAAACATTTTTTTAGGTAGTAGCAAAATATAAACAACAAATTAGATTCAAGTCAAAATTATTTATATTAGATCCTATTTATAAATAATATAGTCTCTAAATTTTTTGTGGCAACATTGGTTTATTAAATAATAATAATTACAGAACTAATTTGTTATATTAACAACAAATTTTAAAATCATGAAATATAAACATTTATTAATTTTCTAAGCATGCAGTGTATTGGAAGAAAAATATAAATAAAAAATTAGAAATCAAAATTATTTATATTAGGTGCTTCATATTACTATTTAAAATTTACTTTAAAATATAAATTAAATATTTCTTCGCAAAAAACTAATGTAAGAGAATTAGCATAAACAAAATACAAACATCGCTAACTTTTTTTTAAATTGGCCCGTTTAAAACGTTCAATTTAATTTTCACACCCCATAGTTTGAGTTCGATAACCCCATTTACTTAACCACATTACTTAAATATGATTATTAAGTTCAACTAATTTATATTATTCAAACATCTAAAATAAAAATATGTATTTTTAAAATTAATTGTAAGTTCATCTCGTCTCTCTTAAAAATTGTGACTTCTCAAAATTTCCCATTATAAAATAAACCATATACCACATAAAATTAAATCACTAAAAGATCGGGCTACGGAAAATCATACAAATTTTCGGAAAAATTTTGACCACCTGCACACGCACACAATGGTCAATTAAAAAAAAAACTACTATTTTAGTATTTTAAATATTTTAATAAACGCAAAAATAGCACAGTATTTATACGGCGAAGTTATAAAAATTTGAAAGAATTAATAATGCACTGACGCACACAAAAATCAAACGAATACTAAATTTCATTTATCCAAAGACTTCGATCACAGAATATCTAGCTTGCGTAGCTAGATATTCTGTGCTTCGATAGTCGTGGCTCAACGATAACCATTTAGTCGCACGGCGAGGTAGTCACATATGCGTTAGTATACAAATGAATGAATGATTTTATTCGAATAAAACCATTCGATAGTTGAAATCATTCATTCAGTAACCATTCGATAGTTCCCATCGCTATTTTTAATGCTTTCGATTTTCGGAGATGAAAAGGGTTATTTTGGCCTCCACAATGTTATCTCTGACCCAAGTATCATTTTTGAGCACATTTTAGGTAATGTTTCTAATAACTGTGTCTCTGTTTCTTGATACAAAATGGAAACAGTATGCCACAAATACGAAACATTTTCGAAACCTATATATTTTATATGGCTTTATTACATGTGTTTCTGATGTGGTGGCACTAAGCGTTTCCTGAAATATTTCGATGCGAAATCAGAACTTTTAGAGGAAATGTTTCAGAACTGAGGGTATACATGACAAGCGAGAACCAGAAAGGTAGAGATCTTTTTATTTATTATTTTTTTATAGCTAAAATAATTATTTTCACCCCTTCAAATTAAATCATATCCACAAATATGATAAAAATAAAGAAGGAACGCTCTCATGAAAATGGGTGGCAGAAGAGAACGGAAGCAATATTTGGATTCTAATTTTACATAAGAATCAGCAGGAATGGTAGGTACCAGGGCTCAATAAAAAAATATTTTTGCAGACCAGTTTTATTAATTATAATCTGATATTTTCTTACCTTCATTCCGACCATGATGTTTTCCCAAACATCGGCCATCGGTGCATGTTTGAAACAAGTAACGGGAGCTGCTACGAAGTATCTGTCGCTTAATTGTGAATCCCAATTAAACGAATTTGCTAGTTCGGAAGGCTTTCTCCGAACCAACGGAATCGTATCGTCTACTGGCGGCATGGTAGGTTTTGGAATTTGTGGCAACCTGTAAATAAAGTTAAATTTAATAGAAACAAGTTAAAAAGGTCGTTCACAAGGCGAAGGACCTACCTATTAAAATTAAGATCTCATACTTGGAGAGAATTTTTTTTGAGATGTCTACGAACCTTTTTTTCAGAGTATAAAGTGAAAAAAAATAGTCGATTTTTTGACCCACCTTACTGGACATATAAAATAACCATAATTGTTATTTTAGAATTTAGAAGAATTAATACAATCAATATTATTTAACGGTTAAAATGATAAAGTGAAAGTGTGCGCTTATTTACAAATTATTATTAAAATGTAAGCAACACATTAAAATTCTAAAAAAGAGTTAATTTTAAAAAATTATTAGAAAAGTTAGATGTTTAAAACATTTAAGTACGTTTTGTTCCATGAAAAAACAGTTTTAATTGTTTTAATTTATTTTTAAATAAGTATAATGAATAATAATAATTATTATTCAAATTAAAAACAAAACACAAATAAGTATAATATACATGTAAATATATAATAAGAATTTTAATATTCTCACCTATCGATAATGTCCTATATACATAAAACATATTAGTAATCTTGAAAAGACACAAAAACAATTTTCACAATGAGTTCTATAAGAATATTTGCAAACTAACGGCACATTACCTACTTCTACATGTAATATCAATTCTATCAAATTTCGCAAAACTCGAGAAAGTAGTAAAAAGAAAATTTCACGTATTGGTATATGGTATAAAAAGTACACAACAGCCGGCGACACTACAGGAGACATTTTGTGCAAACGACTCCTATTTTTACGCATAGGTATTATCACATATTATTTAAATGATGTTATCAATTTTAAAGATTTAATTTAGGACATGTACTACTTTAAGTCTAAGTACAATTATTGATAAGCAAAAAATTAACAATTTGAAATATAAATAAAGCGCGAATTAATTGTTTTTATAATGTTGACAAGATTAACACAACTATACTAATTAAAATAAAACATGTCTTTTAATAATAATAACATGCTTTATTGTCTAACAGATTAAAAAATCCAATTACAAGACAATATTAACTAGGTTCATCTCTCTCTCTCTTCAGTCCCGACCCCCATTAGGGAGTGTAGTGGTCAGCGTAACATCATGGATGATTTTTCTCCATGCGCCTCTGTCTTTTGTCATCTCGATGACATCGTGCATTGGCTTGCTACAGCTAGTCGTGATCTGGTCTATCCATCGAGTTGGAGAGCGGCCACGTGGTCTACGTCCCTCCACCTTGCCTTGAATTATGAGTCTTTCCATATTGTCCGGACTTTTCCTCATTATATGTCCAAAATATTTTAGTTGTTTTAGTCGGATTTTACAGGAAAGCCTGTTAGTAATATTAAGTTCATTTATAATGGAAACGTTTGTACGGCGTTCAGTCCATGGGATACGGAGCATACGTCTATAACAATACATCTCGGTAGCATCGATCTTCTTACGTTCCGCCTGCCTAAGAGTCCACGATTCGCAGCCATACGTCAATATTGGGAGTACCAAACAGTTGACTAGCCGGTTTTTGGTGGCTCTTGAAATCTGGCGGTCTTTCCAGATCTTGGTCAGTCTCCCAACAACTACCTTTGCCATGTTGCACCTACGCTTCACCTCTTCTTCCGATGTGCCTGTATTTGTCAATAGTGATCCCAGGTATACGTATGACTTAACGACTTCAAAGCGGTCGATATGACTTATATTTGGATGGTTGTTATGTTGCCTATCAACTATCATAATTTTGGTTTTTTGCGTATTTAGTTCCAGACCGACCGATTTACTAAATTGATTAACTCTTCTTGACTGTTAGCGAGTAGTGCTGTATCATCTGCAAAGCGTAGATTATTTATTTTTTGGCCATTTATTGAAATGCCTCCTTCCCATGTTTCTAGCGACCTGCTCATTCATGTACTCTCCGTATATGTTAAATAGTTGAGGAGACAATATACACCCCTGTCTGACTCCTTGTTCGAGGGAAAATTCCTTTGAAGCTGAATCCAGTATTCTAACTGATCCTGTAGTGTGCTGATACAACTGAATGATAAGTGAAATAAGGTGTTGCGGTACCCCCACTTCCTTTAAGATTTTCCACAGGTGATGCCATCTGGCTTTATCGAAAGCTTTTTTATAGTCTACGAAACAAATATAAAGAGGGATGTTGAATTTCCTTGCTTTCTCTATGATTTGGCGCATATTCAGAAGATGTTCCCGAGTGCCTCTGCTCTTGGTGAAACCTGCTTGTTCTGCTGGAATTTCTCTTTCTAGAAAAGCTTTCAGTCTTTCATTTATAATTTGCAACATTACTTTACTGGCATGTGAGATGAGGGAAATTGTACGATAGTTGCTGCACTTATGTATGCTCCCTTTCTTGTGGAGAGTGACAATGGTGGAGTGTGTCCATTCGTCGGGCCATTCTCCTGTGTGCCATATTTTATTACAGATCAGATGAAGCATTTCTAATCCAGGTTCTTTAACGGCTTTTATTATTTCTGCTGTCATTAGGTCTGAACCTGGTGCTTTATGGTATTTTAATTTGTTTATGGCCAATTCAACTTCACTTTTAAGGAGTCCGGTTCTTTCTCTGAATTTTCGTGGTGGTCGACATAGTTATATTCTTCACTGTCTTTGTATAAATCTTCGCAATATGATCTCCCACCTCAATAATATCTTCTTTTTGGTTCTTAAAGTTCCATTTTGATCTTCGATTGCCCAATTTCTGGCTTTAAAGTCCCTGGTAATATATTTTATTTTTTTGAAGAGGTCTCTTGGTTGGTTATTTAGACTGTGTCCCTCGATTTCTTTGCATATATCAGAATAAAATTGTTGTTTGTCTCTTCTTGCTCCTTGCTTTATTGCCTTATTCAGGTATTTTAGTTCTTCTTTCTCTAGGTTTTTACTAATACTAATATTGGTATAATTTGCTAAGTTGTTCCATAGGAAGCAAGAACGGTATATGGGTGTTTCTGCTGCAGATTTGATGTCGCCAATGGCTGATAAAATTCACACTGTCGAGTATTAGCAATCGGAACTGCGGAAGTTTACTTTGTTTAACAATTAAGTACATTCTATCAAGTTGTTGCACAGTTTAAATATGAAACTTAAGTTATTTTGTATTCTGCACCTCTCAAGAGAATAATCGTATATCTCATATAAAAATACATAATTAATTCAATAATAATTGGCTTTATAAAAATTATATAGCTTTACAGGTAATTTGCACGGAAGAATACTACTAGATTCAAACTGTACCAATGTTAATATTTAACGCGGGATGGGTTGCATCCTTAGGTACTAGTCAGACTTGAGTAGTATTCGAATACTCGGTATTCTGAATCCTATTCAGAATACTTTTGACTGGTATTCGAATACTATTCGAATACATTTGTGTAATTGGTATTCGACTGAATACTTTTTTGGTTTTTGAATCCCAGTATTCAAATCCTGTATTCGAATCCCGGTATTCGAATCCTGTATTGGAATCCCGGTATTCGAATCCTGTTTGATTTTGTTTATGAATATTGCGTTACGCTTTACGCAACTTAAGCTTGTTAAAACACGTTCGCGGGGGTTGCGGACGGTTCTCAATTCGCGATGCCGACAATCGGGTTAAATTTAATCATGGCCAAATCGTGAGACGAGACGGGTCGCTTAAGGATCACGATTAGATATTACGTGTGCACTTGTGCAGTATCGCCATTCTAGGTATTTTATTATAAATTTTAATACCTGTTATAAGTTTTTTTCGTTTTCCTGTTATTACCGATTCTGAACCGTCCTAGAACTCTGCAGCGCATGCGCAAATGAAATAATGTCTTCATATTTCCTCCTGCGCATACGCATCACAGTTCTAGGACGGTTCAGAATCGGTAATAACAGGAAAACGAAAACGATGTTAATTTGTGTGTGATACCGTGATACCAGACAAAGTACCGGGTGGCCAACTAAGAATGGACGCCGGCTGTATCTCAGAAACTACTTATCGTATAACTTTGGGAAAAAAATTCTAATAAGTAAATCGAGAGAAATCGCTGGAAATTATTTTCAAGTTCGAAAAATATCCGCTAGGGGGCGTTTCTCTGATAGCCAATCAGAAAACAGGGTTTTTCTCAAAAATATGCAGGTGAACAAGTATTTTAAATATTACTACTGTAATCATCAAGAAATCTGTAATTTTTATGATATAGAATGTTTTGCTCTATCTCATAAAATAAAGTAGTGGGGGAAGGTTAAACTAGCTTTTATTAAAATAAGGATAACTCTGGTTTGGGTTAACCGATTTAAATAAACTAGGGCTGGTTTAAAACAGCTTTTCTTCCTTAATGATATTCAGTATAAATTTTGTTTCCATAATATTTTTCGTGGTAGCTAGAGGGCGCTGTTTGACATCATAACAGATATTGCGCTTTTCCATAAGAAATTTAAATAGGAAGCTATATTTCTCTTTGCACAGTTAAATAGAGCACAAACTTTCCAAAATATCAGCATCTTGTCTCTAATCGGAGATATTAAGAGAAAAAATCATGTTAGGCTGCCGCTTAGAAAAAAAATATGGTCTAAAAATTCGAGTAGTAGGCTAGGAAACAAAAAGAGTTAAATTGGTTATGTCAAAATATCATTTTTTTTTCCAATTGTTACCTTATTGTGTTTCATAGTTTTATAACTTAAGCACATAAATAAAAATCATGTTTAAAGTACGGATATGTTTTTTTTGTTGGAATATTCAAAAAGTATTCATATTTAAATGAATCCAGGTATTCAAATACAGCGGTATTCGAATTTTTTTTTATATTCGAATCTTAAGTATTTGAACACAATTTAGAATACAGTATTCAGGATTCATATTCGAATACCGGATTTCAGTATTCGACCCAAGTCTGGTACTAGCGGGTGTTAGTTGTTTCTATGTCGCAAGAAAAATTTGCCAATTGTTCAACGTCCCATTATGCAACCTCGAATGTACAGCTAAAATAACACCTCCTCCTCT